GAATTTCCCCTTTTCTTTCTTTCTTTCTTTTCTTTCTTTTTTTTTTTTGGGTGAATGTGGGGGCTGATTTTGTGGCATCCCAGTTCAGTTTTGAGTAAGGACCTGTGAAAACGCATGTGTTTATGTCCTTAATCACTACATCTACAATGTCTTTTGCTAGGTGATGATTCAAATGATCATCAACCTTCAGCTAGCCCCTGCAGCCTTCTTCGGATAAAACTCCCGTTCGGGCCAATGGTAGTTTTGCAGGATTTGCATCCCTGTTGCTTAGCAATACATATAACATTGGTGTAGCCCATCTGCTGCAGAGAGGAGAGGAATAAAAGGGAACATGAGACAGGTCAAAGCAAATATTTTCTGTACACATGCTGCACAATTAGCCTGTGGAACTCACTGCCACAAGATACCACAGAGCCCAGGAGCTTAGTGGGATTATAAATGGATGTTATGGATAATATGAACATCCAGAGTTAGAGTAGGTAACAAAAATAACCAAGAGTCTTGGGAGCAGCATAGATGCCTCCTGCTTCAGGCCTAAGCCACCCACTATGGGCTGCTCTACACTGAAAACTTACATCAGCATAGCTATGCTGTGTCGACCTAACCCCCAGTGTAGCCATTCTTCTGTTGCCCAAGCTACCGCCTCTCGGGGAGATGGATTAACTACAGCGCTAGAAGAATCCCTCCCATCGCTGAACCACTACAGCAGCACAGCTGTAAGTATTTTAAGTGTAGCCATATCCTAACTAATGGGAGTTGTGAAGATGTTTCCTTTGGGTGCAGGCAATCCCATAACTGCCTACTGCAAGGTTCTCACCCCTCCTCTGCAGCAGCTGGAGCTGGCCACGCCTGGAGCCAGGGTGCTGCATTAGCTGGACCACGTCTGATGCAGTTCCTATGTATCTGTGCCCAAATTAGTGTGTTTAATCTCCCCTCTTCCAGTTTAGATCGCCAACTTTCTGAGGCAGGGACAGTCTCTTTTGCTTATTTTAGCACCTTTTGGGGGATCCTCCAAAAGAACTCATCAATATTCGTTTTCATTTGAGGCACTGCATTTTCAGGCAGGTTCTCAGCCATCAAATCAGTGTAACTCCACTGGAACCCATGGCTATTTGCAACAACCCAGGATTCAGACCTAACACTGTTGTACGAGCCTGTTTCAGGGATGAGCAGCCAAGGGGCTCCCCCCAGAATGGCCTCTGTTCACCTTTGTCTAACCCCATGTGCCCAGGAGCACGTGTGCTGCAAAAAAGGCGGAGAAAGAGACATCAGGCAGCTATTCATGTGTTTTCCCAGTTCGCCAAAGACACTTCCTCGTAAGCATAACCACAGGTGGGAGGCAACTTGACCACCAGTCAAGCAAACTCACATGGAGATCCTTTTCCTGGAAGTGGTTAGACTTTGTTCCTGCAAAATAGTCCACAACAAAACAGCTGTTTTTCAGAAACAAAAAAAAATGATATGAACCCATGTCACTAGTGTGGAACATTTTCAGTTTTCAGCAGTTAGTTCTTTTCGCTTGCTGCGTTCTGTGAAGCTTCATTCTCTAGAAGCCGTGACTGAACTCAGGCCAGACCCAGCTGGGTTGGAAGCACACGGGGTCTAAGAGTTGGGCCCAATTACAGCAATCTGGTGACTGTCCACCAGGGGGACTCAGCCAGGTCTGTGACACAGGCAGGGTGCCCACAGTGCCCCTACTGCATGATAAGGGAGAAGCTGTGGATAAGGGAGAAGCTGTGGATGTGGTATACCTAGACTTTAGTTAGGCATTTGATACAGTCTCGCATGATTTTCTTATCGATAAACTAGGCAAATACAATTTAGATGGGGCTACTATAAGGTGGGTGCATAACTGGCTGGATAACCGTATTCAGAGAGTTGTTATTAATGGTTCCCAATCCTGCTGGAAAGGCATAACAAGTGGGGTTCCGTGGGGGTCTGTTTTGGGACCGGCTCTGTTCAATATCTTCATTAACGACTTAGATATTGGCATAGAAAGTACGCTTATTAAGTTTGCGGATGATACCAAACTGGGAGGGATTGCAACTGCTTTGGAGGACAGGGTCATAATTCAAAATGATCTGGACAAATTGGAGAAATGGTCTGAGGTAAACAGGATGAAGTTTAACAAAGTCAAATGCAAAGTGCTCCACTTAGGAGGGAAAAATCAGTTTCACACATACAGAATGGGAAGAGACTGTCGAGGAAGGAGTACGGCAGAAAGGGATCAAGGGGTTATAGTAGACCACAAGCTAAATATGAGTCAACAGTGTGATGCTGTTGCAAAAAAAGCAAACATGATTCTGGGATGCATTAACAGGTGTGTTGTGAGCAAGATACGAGAATTCATTCTTCCTCTCTACTCTGCGCTGGTTAGGCCTCAGCTGGAGTATTGTGTCCAGTTCTGGGCACCACATTTCAAGAAAGATGTGGAGAAATTGGAGAGGGTCCAGAGAAGAGCAACAAGAATGATTAAAGGTCTTGAGAACATGACCTATGAAGGAAGGCAGAAAGAATTGGGTTTGTTTAGTTTGGAAAAGAGAAGACTGAGAGGAGACATGATAGCAGTTTTCAGGTATCTAAAAAGGTGTCATAAGGAGGAGGGAGAAAACTTGTTCACAGCCTCTAAGGAGAGAACAAGAAGCAATGGGCTTAAACTGCAGCAAGGGAGGTCTAGCTTGGACATTAGGAAAAAGTTCCTAACTGTCAGAGTGGTTAAACACTGGAATAAATTGCCTAGGGAGGTTGTGGAATCTCCATCTCTGGAGATATTTAAGAGCAGGTTAGATAAATGTCTATCAGGGATGGTCTAGACAATATTTGGTCCTGCCATGCGGGCAGGGGACTGGACTCGATGACCTCTCGAGGTCCCTTCCAGTCCTAGAATCTATGAATCTATGAGCTAAAAGCCATATAGCTGTTACCTAAGGTTGTACAGCAGATTCATTTTATCTCTCTCTTTAAGTGGCCTCGGTGCCACTAGATGGGACAGAACACCACACCCATAAGGTGTGTGTGTTACACTAGCAAGAGCATTTTGAAGAGACAGAAATTCGTCCACATGCAGCCATGTTGCTGACCACAGCCTGTGTGAAGGTGCTGGCTGTGGAGATGCTGTGGTGGGTGAGGACTTCAGGGCATCTGCTGCTCCCACTGCTGCGGCTCCGAGATGGACAGGACCCAGTCAGTCCTTCTTCCCCAAGAGGGCCGTGCCAGAGCTGTGTCTTGCTGTGCGGGAGCTGGTTTGCGATGCCTGAGCTGGTGGGAAGCCATCCCTCACACTGCAGACACATAGGCCTGTGATCAGACCACAGCTGCCTCTCACAGCACACTGACTCAGCAGCAGCCGCCCTGGCAGTCAAGGAGGAGAACAACAGCTGGCAGCAACTGGGAGCTGTTACTGGGGAGCGGTTGGAGCCCTTTTCCCAGTGGCTTTGTGGCTACAGCAGCAGGGTCAGGGTCACGAAGGCAGTGCATGGCGGGGTGGGGGTGGAGGGGTGGGACTCACACCTTGTCTTGCCCATTGACTCAGCCTTGTTGTTGAAAATGCCTGGACAGGGACGGGGAATGATCTGTGGCCAGTTCAGCTGGTCTTGCCCAGCTGTGAAAGAGTCGTCTTGTTCCCAGATGAAGCAGGAGGTGGTGACAAAATGGAATTCTACCTTCCACATGCTAGCCTGATTGTATGAGCATAGAGCTACCACCATGCAGGATTTTTGTGTCCAGAGATCTGCACAGGTGCAGTCAGACACCAGCCTGCAGATGACCATCAACATAGAAGCAGTGTGACATCTCCCGGCACTCTGATGAGGCCATAAAGCTTGGGGTGACAGAGGGCTCAGCCAGGTTACACCCTCAGTCTGCCTCCTGGAGAAGAAACTGAGTCGAATGCAGACCGCATGCCACCAGAAGGACATCACTGGGGTATTCCTGGTAGAGACATGTTATCTCTGGTAATTGCCACATAAAAGCCATTAGAGCGAAAGCACATTTCCTTGTGGCCACGTACCTTGACCTCTGATTCAAATCCACCATGGGTTCCTTCCCCCCCAGGAGCTGGGGAGGCAGACCTCAGCCAATAACAGCATCGGCTGACAGATCTGGTGGCTGAAATATGGGCACCCAGCATTCCCAGAGATGGGGAAACCAGAGTGTCACCAACACAGCAGCAGGAGCAAAACGTCCTTGCTGGTGGTGTCAGGGACAATCTTGAGGACTATGGACTTGTCCCCTGTGCTTCTGAGGAGCCTGCTGCTGTGAATACACAGAGGATGGGAGCGAGATACGCCATGATCCCATGCTGATGGCTGTACCTCCATTTGTCTGCTCCACTGGCAGTTGAGGAGGCATAGGTCTGGCCAGCGCTGTATCAGCTGGAAGTGAGCCATCCGTGACGTACAGCTAGCAGTGTCTGCTCAGAGCCCTGTGCAGCACAGCCAGAGCGAGAGTGGCTGACAGGCACACCTGACCAAGTACACTGTGCCTGAGCAAGTGGCTATCAGCTGCCTTCCTGCTGAACAGCAGCCCATGGGTGAGGAAGAAGAGGAATGCATGCAGGGGGTACGTCAGCACCAGCTGGCTGAATCTACCACCTGTGCCCTCCATACTCTGCTGCCTACATAGAAACCAGCATGCAGGCTGCAATTGTTCCCATCAATGAGCGACTGTGGGTTCAGTCAGTCAACAGGTTATCAAACTTTTCATT